TAACACATCCATCAATTCAGTTACCTCTTGCGTGTGTGTGCAATGAGAACTTTTAAGATGTATTCTCTTAGCAACTTCCAAGTATATAATACCTGTTAAATATTACTATGTACAGCCACCATGCCACACATTAGATCTCCAGAACTTATTCATCTTAAAACATTCATTTTGACCACCTTCGCCCATTTTTCCTTCCTTCTCCCCTGCCCCGGCAACCACCAATCTACTCTTTCTATGAATCAGTTTCTGAGTTTTGATGACTTAGATTCCTTATTTATGTGAGATCACACAATATTTATCTTTCTCTGTCTGACTTATTTCCCTTAGCATAATGCCCTCAAGGTTCATCTATGTTGTAGTAAATGGCAGGATTTCCTTCTTCCTTATGACCTAGTAACAGCTCAAAGTGTGTGCGAGAGTGTGTGCCATGAGTGCATATATAGTATACATTTTCTTTATCCATTCATTCGCTGATGGATATTTAGGTGGTTTCCATGTCTTGGCTACTGCAAATAATGCTACAGTGAACATGGGGATGCAGACACCTCTTCAGGATCATGATTTCATTTCCTTCAAACATCTGTGGGATGGCTGATCACATGGTAGTTCTATTTTAATTTTGGGGGGAACTTCTATAGTGTTTTCCATAGTGGCTATACCAACTTATATTCCCAATAAGAGTGTACAAGGGTTCTCATTTCTCCACATCCTTACCAGTACTTGCTATCACTTGTCTTTTTTATAAGAGCCATTTGATAAGAGCCATTCTGACTGGTATAAAGTGTTTCTCATTGTGCTTCCGATTTGCATTTTCCTGATGATTAGTGATGTTGAGCACCCTTTCAAATACATGTTGTATAGCTTCTTGGGGAAAATGTCTATTTAAGGTCCTTTGCCCATTTTCAAATTGTTTTTTACTATTGAGTTGTATGAATTCCTTATATATTTTGGAGATTAACTCCTTATCAGGTATATGGTTTGCAAATATTTTCTCCCATTCCATAAGTTGCCTTTTCTTTTGTTTTTTTTTTTTTTTAAGATTATTTATTTATTTATTTGACAGACAGAGATTACAAATAGGTAGAGAGGCAGGAGAGAGAGAGAGGAGGAAGCAGGCTCCCCGCTGAGCAGAAAGCCCAATGAGGGGCTTGATCCCAGGACCCTGGGATCCTGACCTGAGCTGAAGGCAGAGGCTTTAACTCACTGAGCCACCCAGGCACCCCCATAAGTTGCCTTTTCATCTTGTTAATCATTTCTTTTGGTATATTGAAGTTTTTTAGGATGTCAGCCCACTTACTTATTTTTCCTTTTCTTCCTTGTGGTTTTGGTATCATATCTAAAAAATCATTGCTAAGACCAATGGCAAGGAGCTTTGTTCCTATGTTTTCTTCTAGAAGTTTTATCGTTTCAGGTCTTACATTTACATCTTTAATCCATTTCAAGTTAATTTTTGTGACTGGGGTAATATGATAGGTGACTCATGTCCTTAAAATACCTTCTTCACTCAGGACACCAACTCTTGTGGTTTTTCATCCTACCTTTTAGCCATTCCTATTTGCCTCTTCTCCTAAGACCTCTTAACACTGTGTGGTCCAGGACTCAGTCTCTGGTACTCTTCTCTGTATATACTCACTCCCTTGGTGATATCACCCAGTCTTATGACTTTGTCCTCTTTACTGACAAACTACTAAATTTGTATCCCCAGCTCAACCCCCCTCTAGAACTGCACTCATATGTCCAACCCAGACATACATCTAAATGCTGACTCAGCATCTCTGCTTGGACGTCCAAAGACCTGTCCAACACTGAACTTGCAACCCTCTCACCAGGTCCACATCTAGCCTAATCCTGTTTCACTGTCAATCTTCCCCATTTCAGTTGATTGCTATTCTATCTTTCCAGCTGCAAGCCAAAAACCATGGACACACATTTGATTTTTCTTTTTCTATCACATGCTACATACAAATCACTAGGAAGCCTTCTGGTTCCTTTTATACATCCACAACGACCACTTCCTGCTTCTTTTATTATTGTCATGTTCGCAGTCACCACCATCTCTCAACTGAATTACAGTAACAGCCTTCTAAATGGTCTCCATGTTTTCTTGCTCCGTACAATCTATTCTTAACATGCAGCCAGGATGATCCTTTGATTTTTTTTAACAATTTTATTGAGATAAAATTAATATACAAAGAGGGGCGTGTGGGTGGCTCAGTTGTTAAGCATCTGCCTTCTGCTCAGGTCATGATACCAGGCTCCTGGGATTGAGCCCCATACCAGGCTCCCTGCTCAACAGGAAGCCTGTTCTCCCTCTCCACTCCCCCTGCTTGTATTCCCTCTCTCACTATCTGTCAAATAAATTTTTAAAAATTAATATACAAAGAATTGCACATATTAATGTATATAGTTTGATAAGCAGAGTGATCTTTTTAAAACATCAAGGGGCACCTGGGTGGCTCAGTTGGTTGGGCATTTGCCATCAGCTCAGGTCATGAACCCAGGATCCTGGGATCAAGCCTGCTTCTCCCTCTCCCTCTGCCTGCTGCTCCCCCTCCTTGTGCACACTCGCTCTCTGTCATATAAATAATTTTTTTAAATCTTAAAAAAAATAAAACATCAAGTCAGATCATGATTCCCCAACACCCCTCCCAAGCCAAATTTCCTAATGTGACCTATAAGGTCCTATAAAATTTACACCTCTGTTACCTCTTTAACTTAATCTTTTATTAACCTGCACTTTGACTACTCCACTCTGGCCACACTGGTCATTCTGTTGTTCACTAAACATCCAGGCTTATTCCCATCTTAAGGCTTCACACAGGCTGTTCCATCTAGAATGTTATTTCCTAAATACCCCAGCTAATTTCCTCAGCATCTCCAGTCCACTCCAGTATCTCCTCACAAGGCCTAACTTGACATCTGTATTAAAATTACAACCTGAGGCATCTGGGTGGCTCAGTGGGTTAAAGCCTCTGCTTTCGGCTCAGGTCATGATCCCAGGGTCCTGGGATGGAGCCCAGTATCGGGCTCTCTGCTCAGCGGGGAGCCTGCTTCCTCCTCTCTCTCTGCCTGCTTTTCTGCCTACTTGTGATCTCTGTCAAATAAATAAATAAATAAAATCTTTAAAAAAAAAAAATTACAACCTGTACTTGCTTCTGTACCCTCACCTCCAACACTCCCAACTTCCCTTATCCTGCTTTATTTCTTCCTCAGGGCCTTTATTACCTTCTAAAACACTATTTAATTTCTTTTTATTTTTAATTTAATTTATTTTTATTTTTATTTAATTATTAGTGACTATCTTTAAGAATGAAAGCTAAGAATGTAGGGATTTTTATCTGCTTTGTTCATGGATATATACCAAGGGCACAGAACAGTACCTGGCAAACATAGGCACTCGATTAATATTTATTGAATGAAATATCTATTTAATGATAGATTAGCTAGGAACGACCAAGAAAAACTTTTAATGCTGACTTTAAAATATTTTATCAAAATTATATTAAGCCACGCACTATTATATATAACCTAAGTATAGCTGTAGAGTAGGAGCTCCCAGAAATTCAGGGCCCAAGAGCTAATTTGAATCGTCAGGTTACAGATCACTGAATGGACTGCCTTAGTATGGGGTAGAAAATCTGGGGAAAATACATGTGTTTGAAAGCAAACTTTTCCATAGTTTCATCCCCTTGCACTAGGAATGTGTGGATGGCCAACCAAGCCTCACATAATAGTGAAAGAAACTAACTCAGGTTTAGACTTTGGGGGATGAAACTAAGCTGTCCTCCTGGTCTGCAACAATGTGAGACTATTTAGTTCCAAGCAAAGAAGCTTTCCACATAGGCAGCCCAGCTTACTATAAAGCTCTGCTTTGAGTTTTTAGTTCAAAGTTCCACCTAATAAACGCAATTTATTGCAGAATAAATTTGTCATTGGTTATTCTTTACAGGGATCTTCCATAGGAATGTAGCAAACACAGGATAAGGGGTGGGATTGATCTAGGGCAGGATTCAAGTACTCCAAGGTGTTCTGGACAAATACTATTTTAATATTGGAAAAATATACCCCCACTGTCACCCAATTTCTATGATAACCAGGAAGAATTTTAATGCTCTTAAAACAAAGTAGTCTGACTGGGGATTGCCAATAGGGTCTAAACAAAGGTTTTGGTTTTTGTTTTAATATTTTATTTATTTATTTGACAGAGATCACAAGTAGACAGAGAGGCAGGTAGGCATAGAGAGAGGGGGAAGCAGGCTCCCTGCTGAGCAGAGAGCCCGATGTGGGGCTCGATCCCAGGACCTTGAGATCATGATCTGAGCTGAAGGCAGAGGCTTAACCAACTGAACCACCCAGGTGCCCCTTCATTTTTTTTTTTTTTTAAGATTTTATTTATTTATTTGACAGGTAGAGATCACAAGTAGGCAGAGAGGCAGGCAGAGAGAGAGAGGAGGAAGCAGGCTCCCCACGGAGCAGAGAGCCATTGGGCTCAATCCCAGGACTCAATCCCAGGACCCTGGGATCATGACCTGAGCCGAAGGCAGAGGCTCTAACCCACTGAGCCACCCAGGCGCCCCCTAAACAAAGGTTTTGATAAAAGAAATAGCAAGGGGTCAACATATGAAAGTCCCGAAAGAGGTGAATGAAGACAACAAAGCTAAATAGATATGGAAATGAATGAAATGAAAAAGGCAAAGATGACAGGCTCCAACCTGAGGAAAATCTCTAGCATATAAATAACATATAGGAAGAAACAGAAATAATTATGCCAGTAATAATTCTATGAAACTTTTTCAGTTTAAAATATTATATTTTAAAAGAAGTAAAATTGTAAGAAATCATTATGGAAAAATATAATTTTATGAATAATTTTATGCAACTACATAGTAACATTTGTGTGGTTTTGTTTTGCACTTAGGTGATTATATGTAGCTAATAAATTTATGTATATATAATAAACGCATAGTAATAAATAAATAAAACACAACATTTTTACTTACAATGATACCAAGAGAATGGACTTTTCATGTACTTGGAAAGAAAATAAAAAGAATGACAGTGCACAGCTAACCTTTAAGAAAAAGGGGGGAGAATGAGATATAACAACTTATAAACTATAACAGTTTAATTATGAATCTAAATAAAAATCATCTGAAGTAAAATTTTAAAGCCTAATGTAGTTTCTATCTAGAAGGAAAATATCTATACAACATTAATGCATATTTTATTCAAATACAGAAAGACATTGCTTGAAAAAATAATGATTATAAAGCTATACTTAACCATCTAAAACAATTTCACTCAGACTCAATTATTAATAAACAAAACTACTAAATACTTCAGACACACAATCAGACCTTCATCCCCCCCCTTGGAATCTCTGACAATTAAAAGGAACTGAAGGACAAGAAGTTCAAAAACACCTCACGAAACAAATGTGGGTATTAAGAAGGGCACATATTGCATGGAGCACTGGGTGTGGTGCATGAACAATAAATTTGGGAACACTGAAAAAAGAATTTTTTTTTAAATAATGAAAAAGTAAAAACAAATCTATTTTAGTACATTTTTTAAATGTACAATTCAATAAAATATATTAAATGTTTTATGAAGTCATCATTTGCTATTTGGGGTTTAAAATTAAAATTACTTAGGTCTATTATCAGAAGTTTATGATCTGCATACTGAACATCTATCTACACACATGCAATCCAGAGCAAATCCTATCTACACCACTTTCTAATTACAATATCCACCCACTTCTCTCCATTCCCCCATGCTAATAGTGGGAAAGGAGTGGTCTAAGCCACACTCATCTTTCTCCTGGACTACTGCAATAACCTCCTAATTGGTAACACTCTTGCTTCCTTACAGTCCATTATGTACTCAGCCACCATATCAGATCATGTAAATTTCCCTGTTTAAAATCCTCAAATAGCTTCTCATTAACACTGAGAATAAAATCCAAACTCCTATCTTGGTCCTGCCTTCCTCTTCCAGTCTATTTCTTACTATCTCCCTCACGCACTTCACACCAGCCACTTCATACCTGTCCCTTTTTGTGCTGAGCATGCCAAACATGTTCCTGCTTTAAGAAAAAACTTCATTTTATCAAGTCAGAGCACAGATCTTCTTAGTGAATGGTTCCTTCTGGCTAGTCATTCAGCTCAAGGCCTAAATGTCACTTCCATAGACAGGCCTTCCCCTGTTCAAGCTAAAGTATTGCCCCACCAGCACTCCTTTCATATAACACTATTTTCTTCATAGCTCCATCACTTCCAGATATTTTCTCATGAACAAATCTATTCTGTTTACTGTCCTTCTCCTACCATTGGCATGAAAGGCCCCAATTAAGAGAACCGGGATATGAGCTGTCATTCACTTACACACCAGTACTTGGAAAAGGACCTGGCACATTAGAGGGCACTCAAAATATGCTACTTGAGTAGATTAAATATGATCACCCTGCTGCTATACATACATTAGTATCATACCATCAATTACCTCAATTATAGGCTTATATTGAGAAATAATTCAATCTTTATTGAAAGGAAAACACTTTGAAATAATTATTTTTTATATATATATACATATATATATGTATATATATAATGGGAAATGTTTTCAAAGTTCTCAGGAACATTCAGTAAGAATTCAAAACATCAACATTAATAAGAAAAATCATTATTATAAATCATATTTAGTTTTTTGAAGATAATGGTTTATATACTAAAACAGCAAACAGAATAAATTAGGAGATTAAGAGAAAAAAAAGTTTTTTCTGGATTATAATCCTAAAAGTAATTACCTCTAACACTGCTACAGTTACTCAAACTCTGAAATTCCACTCGATTATCTTTGAAAGAATACCTTTATTTAGCATGTTATTTCCTAGAAAAATAACATAATCATATGTAAGCTTATAAATATTTCAAGTTAGGGCTATTAACAACCTCAGAGCATTATTATTATTCATTCTATTCTAAAAGTCCTATAGAATAGTAACAGATGATGTAGAATGCTCAGAGTTCATTCTCAGAATGAAACAAGAAATTGTCAATAAAAAGGTAATAAAAAAGAAAAGAGGAACATGAAACTATTGTTTTGTACTGTGGTACCCATATGCACTTCTGAAGTATTTTACTGTTATGCTCTGTTCTGGCTTGTTTTTGAAATGCAATAAAGTAAGTGCCCATCTCAAAAGTGAAATCCTAATTTCTAAAATGTTGTCCCCTTATGAAGCCCATTAAGAGTTTTAATAAACTAAATTTTCTTGAATATCATTTTAGAGACCAAGGCATAAAGGAACCAAATTTTAAGTACCACAGAAATACAACCAGGGAGGAATTTGTGAGCCTACTCAGAGAAACCCAAAGTTGTAGGAAATATAACCAATTCATCTTCAAACTAACACAAGTCATCTTCCTCAAACAGGGATCTGTCCCCTATCCTCAAAAAGCTTTTTTGGCTCTTTTGGCACACAAATCAAACTCTTAACTTTTTTAAGCCAGCATTCAAGGTCTTACCCAATTTGAGCCTTTTCAACTCTTATCTCCCACTATATCCTTTCCTAACCTCAAAACACACACACACACACACACACGTCACACAAATTTCACTGTATGCCATTCCCAGCATTCCCTATCCTTTCCACCACTGTATCCAAGCTCTTCCTCCTGCCTTGAATTCTCTTCTGCTACATAACCTCCTATTCCAAATCTTGCCCAGCTTTCAAAATTTGGTTCCAATTCCACTTACTCTAAGAAGCTGTCTAAAATTTGCCCCAAAGTAATATTTCCCTTTTCCATACTATCACAGCATTTAATGTGTAACTAAAAGAACTTACTACCTTCTACTTAATAGCATAATTATTTAAACATATGTCTATTCCCACTCTTTTCTTCTCTGTGTTCCCTAATACAAAGCAGAAATTAAAGAGTTGTTGAATTAAACCAAAAGATTCTGATTATTCAGCCTAATATAAAACACAGCACCAAAGTATGTCTGACACTCAATAAATGTTGACCAAATAAATGAATACCTTATTTCCCAGTCCAGTAAACCCCATTCAGAGGAAGAAAATAATTACCTGTATTTTTAAAAGATCAGTTGCAGCAAGAATTAAGTATTTAAAATAATGAGAAACTTACCAGAGTAAATCTGAATCCTCTGGGAGAGGGCTGAAGTGTTAATTTTATACATGCAGGAAGCAGGCTCAATAATGTAAAACAAAAGCTAAAAAAAAGAATAAAAATAAAACATTTGTTTTCTCTATAGAGCTATGTAATTAAAGCAAGGAAATATTGTTTAATATAAGGATCACGTTACTTACCTTGTTTATTTCAAATTAAAGGTTTTCTTATTTATTAAATGTAAACTTAATGCCAAATATTATTTAAATAAAATCCATTCATTGAAATATTTATACACTTTTATATGTAATTATATAATACAGAAAAAATATTATAATGGTTATATTACTTATAGAAAAGATACACAAAGATAGATAGCTAACACTAGCAAACACTCAAAATAAGAAAACACTACCAGGCATAAAAAGACAGTATATATTTGTAACACAAACATTTAAAAAATTTACTCACAAAAGAACCTCTCACAAAAGTTAATTGATTTTCAGCCCATGGTAAATCAGAGAGAACAAGTTAGAAAGGGAGTGGGTAGCTGCTAGAGCTACTCCTAGTGATGGCCGATGGGCAGGGAGGAAAAGGAACTCAATGAGCAGAGCCATGTGGAGCCATTTGGTACCACGGCAAACAGCTTTTGCAAGCCCTAAGGACAAATTATAACACAATAACTGATCTTCCCCCTGTTGGTGGCTTTGTGGTGTGTCAACTTGGCTTGGCTGAATAAGCTTTTAGATACAGTGGGCTACAAGGGATATTCTTAGAACTGGAGGACAGAGGGAGGCAGCACCATTATGTAGCATGCACACACACACACCTTCTCCCAGTTATTCAAACACTAATCTTGGAGCTGCTGAGGCGACTTTGGGCAGATGTAATGAAAGTTTCTCTTCAGTTGATTTTAACTTAATCAAAAGGGGGATTCTTGGATGGCCTGACTTAATCAATTAGAAGGCTTTTAAAAGAGAGCTTAGGTCTGCCCTAAATTGAGATTCCAAACAGCAACTGGGTTTGAATTGCTCTTCCTCCCCCTTAGATACTCTTTCCTAAATGCCTGCCTTGTGGACTTCCAGTTTGTTCAGTCAGATCTCCTGACGGTATATGCCAATTCCTTGTAATAAATTCACACGCACACACACACCCTCCTACTCATTCTTCTTCTCTGGTTGAACCCTGATTGATACACCACTGAAAATTACGGCTCTTCAAGATAATGTTTAATCATGTTTAGTAGACTTTGTTTAAGGAGGAGGGAAATAGGTAACAATCCAGGAAGATTATCACTTCACATACTTCAAATAATAATTTTGGTATATAAAGGGATAGGTAGTGTTATGTGGAAAATTCACTAATGAAGAACACCTCATTCCCTAATGACACCAGATAAATGAGATATTACCATAATACTTTTAGAGAAGAGCTTCTACAACACCATACTCGAACTTTATATCTCTTACCTGATTATGATCTGGATGTGACGTGGCAAAATATCCTTGATCTTCAGAAAGATACTGAAGCTGCACCAAATATTGGCCACTTTATCCTTAAAAGAGATTTGTGAATTTTACATTCTGATATAATAGAAATATTAAACTCTATCAAAGTACAGCCCATGATTTCTAAATAAACTTTTGAGACATAAAGCTTTTGTTCACAACTGTTTTATAGCTGAGTTGCTTAAACTCTCCAAGAACACACGCACACACACACACACACACACACACACAAGCATTTTTCGTTTTTTGCAATGAGAGTTGACCTAAATCACAAGCGAACCGTAATCCAGACATTCCCAAGAAATATTTATTATTTTTCAAAGAACAGCACACTATCCCTAAATACTTAAGTTACTCATCTTTGGACATTTTTCTAGGAAATCTTTTTTCCTAATTTGTAGAACACACATTTTTTGGACCCATTTTATCACATACCTAAAATTGTCTCAAGTATAACCTACTAACAACTCACAATGACAAGAGTTAATTGCTAATAAATCAAGGCATTTAAATACATTAGCAGTTGTGGTAGGATTGCTTTCAAAATTAAATTTGTAACTACAGCTCTCTGCTTGTGAAACCCACCCTCTACACAGCTGCTTAACTCACAGCTGTGTAAGAATAACATCAAGAAAGTAACTATCACTGACAACTGCACCATCCTACTTCCCCCTGTCGATCAAAGAAAATGCTCTTCAGATTTTGAGGGTAGCAAGGGAATGGAGATGGCCAGCAACACTATCAAACATGTATGATACACATCTCTATAATTATTGTGATAAATACTATTTTTGAAATGGAAGGCAAGGCAGAGAACCAAGAAGATTAGATGGAGAATTAACTTTTCTTTATATAGGTTTTAAGGTTAGAGGAAGTATTAAGAAGAACACAGTTTTCAAAATTCACACCACAGCTGGGCCATGTACAAGCTCTGTGAATCTCTGACCTCAGTTTTCTGATCTACAAAATGATACAATAGCTACTTCAGTCAGACCTATTATGAGAATCAAATAAAATCACATGTGAAGTATGTGGCACCTAGTAAGAGTGATGACAAGAATAGTGATGATTTGTGATTATCACTATCAGGACCAGCAGCATCCCCATCAACATTTAAGTCACATATGCCTGTTCCAATCACACACCAAACTCTTTCTTGGTCTCTTTCAAAATGCTTGTACCATCCTACTATAGATCCGGTGAAAGATAATCTATAGCAATTTATATATTTAAAAATTAGAAAGATATATAGGCTTTTCTAATTCTTTTTAAAAGAAATGTTTATCAAAAGCAAATTATCTATAATATGTTGTCTCTGTCTAACTTTATTAAAAGGCCTTTTTGTTTCAGAAAAATGGTTTGTTTAATTTAATTACTAAATCTAAATCATCAAATTATCCACGTAATAAAAGTTTAACAAGAGTGATTAAGCTAGCATTAAATGAAATGAAAGAGTCTCATTAAAAAATTACTATGGATGAAGGTTATATAAGGAAATTATGAGATCTTGCTGAAGCAAACATGATTTAGTTTAATAAATAATTTCCTAAGACTAAAAGGAGAATATAAACCAAAAAAATTACAGAGCTGTTAACTTTGTAGCTGCAACTTCTCATGCTCTTTCACTGTGGATTTTATTTCATTAGAAAAATATATAACTGAAGGGTGCCTGGGTAGCTCAATCATTAAGTGTCTGCCTTCGGCTCAGGTTATAATGCCAGGGTCCTGGGATCAAGCCCCACATTGGGCTCCCTGCTCTGCGGGGAACCTGTTCTCCCTCTCCCGCTCCCCCTGCTTGTGTTCCCTCTCTCGCTGTGTCTCTCTCTGTCAAAAAAATAAATAAAATCTTTTTTTTTTTTTAAAGAAAAATATATAACTAAATTATGGATTTCATGATGGCATAAATATTATCTATTCATTAATGTACTAGAAAACGCCAGCTGAGCTAGAGGTTATATACTGGATTAAATAACTGGCAAGGAATGATTGCAAGGGGAGTAGCTGAAGTTACTACTCCTTGTGTGTCTTCTATATGAAATCCCCAGAGGTCACAGCAAAATAGTGTTAATAGAAAGGAGTAAGAAGAAAGTACTTAAACATACCTCAAATAATCCACGATCAACTGGGAAGAGTCTTCTTAGAACTTGCAGCGTTTGCTCCCTTTCTGTAAAGAATGGCAGCCAGCAGAGAATGAAGGAAGCCACAACTGTACAAGACAGCTTAATTAACAAAACAAACCTAGAACAAAAACAAAGGTACCCAGTAAGACAGGGAGAGATTAATAATACTGAGAAATCAGTCTCAGTCTCACTGAGATAATAAATATAAATGTATAGTCATGACAAATCTATGCTACTAACATTAACATGGGAGTCTACTCAAATCAGAGTTAAGAAATTCACAATTAATAAGATGTATAGCTTTCCAACAAAAAGACTATCACCGTCTTAATTAACATTTAACTTACACGCTTTTCCAATGCAGTCATGAAGAAAAACGTCAAATTGGGATGTATTTCTATTAAGTATAAAATGTAATATGCTCTAAATGGATGAAATCCTATAGCAATGCTCTAACAAACCAATCCACATTACCTCTGGTAAATGTACATTGATCAAAATATTCCTCTTGTTAGGAAGATTTAAAATAAAATTAGAGAACAGGACTTAATCTCTCTTCCAACTCACTCCACAGTCAACACATTATTAAGAAATCACCCAAAGGCAAAAATGAAAGACCACTTTCTTCCTGGTAAGTATGCCAAATAGATTCTCTCAAGTACTTTTTAAAATTCTGTTGTTTAAAAGCCACTCACCCCTCTCCTTTCAGGCCTTTTTTAAGACACTTGCCAAGCAAAAAGCAAAAAAATGGCAAGGAGTGGTAAAGTTCCATCTGTTTATAATTTATAGCTAAGCAAAATGCCAGTGAGCCTAGCAGGTCCCAGTCACAAGACACTCCAAGAACACCCCACAAAGCAAAGCCAAGACTCACAGAATTATATATGTTCCTATGTCAAGGAAATTAACTAAATAATTAAAAGAGATAGATCTTATATTTTATAGAGTATATTTCATATGTGATTTAAAAATAATATATAATGAAGGCTATTTCTAAACAGAAATTGGAAGTATTGAGGTGATAAACTAATATGAAATTGTATATAATGGCCTCAAATACATCAAATTAACTGCTAAACAAACAGAGCAACTGATTTGCTTAGATTTAAAAGATCACTAAACAGTTAACACATAGCTTTGTTTCTGTTAGACTATCTCAGAATATTACTATAATAACATACCAAAATCTAGAGAATAAAACAATGCTCCAAAGTAAAACACACAGACACACACACACACAGACTTACTGATTGCCCCATACTTTCTTCTATAATATGCATCAATATTATAAATTAATATATGACTGATAACCTTATTATAGTAAAACAACATCACAGTTAGACTTTGCAGTTCAAAATGGTTGAGCTGATCTCTCACATTTACCTCCACTCCTTCCTGAGACCCCCCTAACGTGACAGGGAATTTTATTTCTTTATTTTTAATTTTTTAAAAGATTTTATTTATTTGACAGAGGGAGACAGCAGGAGAGAGCACAAGCAGAGGGAATGGCAGGCAGAGGCAGAGGGAGAAGCAGGCGCCCCACAGAGCGGGGAACCCAATGTGGGGCTCGATCCCAAAAGCAGACATGTAACCAACTGAGCAACCCAGGCACCCAGATGGGGATTTTTTTTTTTTTTTAGATTTTATTTATTAATAAAATAATTAATAAAATTTATTTGACAGAGAGAGATAGACGGAGAGGCAGGCAGAGAGAGAGAGAGGGAAGCAGGCTCCCTGATGAGCAGAGAGCCCGATGCAGGACTTGATCCCAGGACCCTGAAATCATGACCTGAGCCGAAGGCAGCAGCTTAACCCACTGAGCCACCCAGGCGCCCCCAGATGGGGAATTTTTAAAAGTAAATATTCACAGCTGTAAAGAGAATAGGAAGATGAACTACAACAGATGAAGATTTCAACACATTTTCAGAAGACAGAGGACAGAGAAGCATAAATAAAATAGGACAGAAGAAGCCAGAGCTTAGAAAATGCAGAGGAAGGCTGAATAAGCAAGGAGCCAATCCACTCTGCAAGCCCCTAGAGAACTCAAGAAACACCAAGTAGGTTAGAGTGCTTGAGTAACATGTTGAAAACAGGAGGATTAAATGAAAATGCCTACATGGAGGCATTTTCCTTACTCCTACCCCACCTTACTCCTATGCAGAGGTTATCCAGGAACCAAATATCTACCCCCCAGGCAACAGAAGAAGGAATATTTCTCCAAAAAACATGGAATTAACTATCCAGGACAGCTAGTGTAGAAGTGAACACCACAGTGTAAAACCTCCGCATTCTGACACTTATGGAGCCTAAATGTTCTGGCCAGCTCCCTGCCCACTTACCCTACAGGGGGCCAAATACACAGAGAACTCACACGCAACTTTTTCTTCTGCCTTATTCTTAAATAAGAATAGATACATTAGGATCAAACAGACATTTTAGAAAAACCTGTAACAAGAAAAAAACCCAAAATGAAAAGGGGAAAAAACTGACCTTAGAAGAATGGAAATAATTCAGGGAATAGTAGAAAAAGAGTAAATTTAAATTTAAGATAGGATTAATTAAAAAATGAGATTTAATAAAGTATTAGAGATAAAGTCATGATAATCTAAACCATAAAACAAAAGATAAAGAGATGCCCAAGACGGAGGTGAAGGGGTGCCTGGATGGCTCCAACAGTTGAGAGGCAGATGCTTGATTCTGACTCAGGTGGTGATCTCAGGGTTGTGAGATCAAGCCCCACAAAGAGCTCCACGCTCAGTGGGGGATCTGCTTAGGATTCTCTGGTTTCTCTAGATTCTCCCTCTGCCTCTCCCCCGACTCACATGCACACACTAATAAATGGGTAAATCTTATTTTAAATCTTAAAAAAAAAAAAAAAAGACAGAGGTGAAAACTCTAACATCTGTCTAATAAGCTCAAGAAAGAGTAAAGTGAGAAAATCATTGAAGAAAATACAGAATTTCCCAGAACTGAAGAACATGAGTCTTCAAAAAGAATGACTCACAGAGTATCCAAAACAACTGTTGCAAACCCCATGCCTAAACAAATCACTGTTAAATTTCAGAGCCCAAAAGGTAAAAAAAATAGTAACAGCAGCAGCAGTAACAACAGATAATAATAGCAATAAATAACTCATATAGAGCTTAGTATCTCTCAGGTACTATTTTCTTTATATATAATATTTCACTTAATTGTCAAAACAAGCATACAGGGGTGCCTGGGTGGCTTATTTGGTTAAGTGTCTGCCTTCGGCTCAGGTTATGATCCCAGGGTCCTGGAATCAAGCCCCAAATCGGGCTCCCTCCTCTGTGGGGAGTCTGCTTCTCCCTCTCATCTGCCCCTTCCCCTGCTTGTGGTCGCTCTCTCAAATAAATAAAGTCTTAAAAAAAAAAAAAAAAGGCATACAAAGTGGGGCACCTGGCTGGTTCAGTCAAAAGAGCATTGATTCTTGATCTCAGGGCTGTGAGTTCAAGCCCCACATTGGGCACAGAGATTACTTAAATAAATCAATAAGTAAACATTTTTAAAAAGGTTACAAAGTAAGGGTAATTATTATCCCCATGTAACAAATGAAGAAAGTACACAGTGGTTAAAAAATGTGTCCCCACAAAATGACATAATCCCAAAAGCTTCAAGACTTTGATTTTTTTTTTTTTTTAAGATTTTCATTTATTTATTTGACAGACAAAGATCACAAGTAGGCAGCGAGGCAGAGAGAGAGGAGGAAGCAGGCTCCCCGCTGAGCAGAGGGCCCGATGCGGGGCTCGATCCCAGGACCCTGGGATCATGACCTGAGCCAAAGGCAGAGGCTTAACCCACTGAGCCACCCAGGTGCCCCAAGACTTTGATTTTAACCACAGAGGAAATCCACTACAAATTTACCAGAATGGTTAAAGTGAAAATGACTGACAGTTGGTGAAGATGAGCACCTGGAAATCCTACCTTGTTTCTAATGGCAGTGTGACTGGTATAACATGCTTAAAAATAATTTGGGAATATCTGAAATTAAACAAGTGCACACCTGGGGCACCTGGGTGACTCAGTCAGTTAAATGTCTGGTTTTAGATTTCAGCTCAGGTCATGATCTCAGGGTTGTGAGTTCAACCCTGTGTTGGGCTCCAAAAGAAAAAAAATTTAAAAAAAAATGTAATGGGTAGAGACATTCACGAGAATGTTCATAGCAGCATACTCATCATAGCCAAATCCTGGAAACAATCCAAATGGCTCTCAATAATAGAATTATGTGTATTCATTCAATGGAATATAGAGCAAAAATACCAACACAAAGGAATACCTAATGTGCTGTCTCTCTTATATAAAGTCCAGAAAAGGAAGAAAACAAACTATAAGATTAGCAGTTAGTATGTGGCTATCTTTGGAAAAGGAAGAGAAAAGTACTTGGGAGTTGCACAAGTGTAGATTTATACAAGCAATGTTTTGTTGTTGTTGTTGTTGTTTTAAAACAGGTAATAGTATGTTGATGCACTGAGCCACACAATTACATTTTGTGTGCTCTTCTATATGACTGTTATATTTCAAAGTAAATATAATTTTAAAAATCTTGTAAACTTTTTTCTTTATATCAGTGTCCCTGATATTACCAGAGTACCAGATGGCCATGATCCCAAAATGCAAAACAAACAAAAAAGTCAACTTGGAAAGTGGACAGAATAAAAACTGATTTAAATCTTTTCTAAGTCCTTTGACAAATACACATATTAAATTTGTTATAACTAAAACAGATTGGCTTCAAAAGGCTATTAATCAATCATGTTGCTGTGGATTATGTCTTTTTTTTTTTCCTTTGGGGACAGATGGGGACAGACAGTAACAGTTAACACATGAGAAGACAAACTGGAGAGCCATGTCCAGATTTTATCAACTTTCCTCTAAGATTTCCTTTAAGAATGTTCCTTCAAAAAGTTACACACAGGGGTGCCTGGGTGGCTCAGTGGGTTAAGCCTCTACCTTCAGCTCAGGTCATGATCTCAGAGGCCTGGGATCGAGCCCCACATCAGGCTCCCTGCTCAGGGAGCCTGCTTCCCCCTCTCTCTCTGCCTGCCTCTCTGCCTACTTGTGCTCTCTCTCTGTCAAATAAATAAATAAAATCTTAAAAAAAAAAAAAAAGTTAACACACATAAAATCCACATAGATTATAATTATTCAATTTTAGTTCCCCAAAGCTTGCAGTTACCACCATCTGTAAGAGAAACATCTTGGTTTCAAACTGGAAACTGATTGTTTTCCTTTTATCAGTGTCAGATGACATTTACAAAAGAGAGAAGATAGTGATACCTCTTCAGAATTAGGAGAGCATAACCATACTTGGCACTCTTTTTCCAACTTTTTAGAAGAGCTAATCCATGACCCACATTTTGTTCCCAAGCTAAAGGATGTAAAACAGCAATTCTACTTCTAATAAATCTGTACTTTACCCTTAAAGTAAAAGCCTGGTGAAAAGATTCTTTTATATTGTTGTGAAAAATAGTTCATATAAGCAGGTGCCCTAGCAAATAAGACATTTACATAACATTATACACACTAAGCCCAGATTTCAAAATACACAGCTGACTTCATTTCTAAATTAGTAAAGGATACTGAAAATGTCCATAGTCGATAAGAATAAGGCCTGGATACAGCAATATGCATAATACATTAGCAATCTGTAAAGAAAAATATTGTGAAAAAGCAAAGTAGTGTTACTCAAATCAAACAGGGTAAAACTGCTGTTTGATTTAACAGAGCAAATTTCCCCTCTCACCTTCTATTTATCAAAATATTCCTTTTTACAAAACAATTCTCTAAATACTAAAGTTTTCATGGAGTTGACAGAATACTTCAGTAAAAAGGAAATAAAAAGTCACTAAAAGGTATTTGTCAGAGAAAGCACTTTTAGATATACAGATCAAAGAAGTTAATCTAATGACTGACTGGTATAAAATGACCCAAAGGAATATCAGTTAAATGGGAATAAGAGAATATACAATGACTTATCAAAATGCCTTCCCATTTAGTCATTCTCATAAACCAATTCAAAATTCATTTACCAGTAAAGCCATAATAAATTCAGCATGCTGTGTAATTCAGCAGTACATAACTTCTTAAATTCAATGCATCTTGGGGCGCCTGGGTGGCTCAGTGGGTTAAGCCTCTGCCTTCGGCCCAGGTCATGATCTCAAGGTCCTGGGATCGAGCCCCACATTGGGCTCTCTGCTCAGCAGGGAGCCTGCTTCCCCTCTCTCTCTCTCTCTCTCTCTCTGCCTGCCTCTCTGCCTACTTGTGATCTCTCTCTCTGTGTCAAATAAATAATAAAAATCTTAAAAAAAAAAAAATTCAATGCATCTTATTACTAGAGTAGAACATTAAAATTAGGGACGCCTGGGTGGCTCAGTTGGTTAAGCGGCTGCCTTCGGCTCAGGTCATGATCCCAGCACCCTGGGATCGAGTCCCACATCCGGCTCCTTGCTCGGCGGGGAACCTGCTTCTCCCTCTGCCTCTGCCTGCCTCTCAGCCTACTTGTGGTCTCTCTCTCTCTCTGACAAAAAAAAATTAAAAAAAAAAAAAAAAAAAAAAGAACATTAAAATTATTAGTCTAAGGCAAGTTGATGTTTTCTAAATGAAAATTAATTGACAAAATAATCACTGCCCTACAATAGCCTATTGCCCAAAGCATGGCTTCTATATGCTCTATACTTTAATAGTTAAGTCAATAAAATATTTCAGAGATGATACTTCAGGTTGCTTTAAAACTTACCTTTTTCTTGGTTGAGATTTCTTTTAAACAACAACAGTATAAAATCACTGCAGGTATATAAATCAGCAAATCAGCAATTAACACTGAAAAAACAAGTAAATCATTTTAAACATGAGTCTGTTAGGATTTACAATAACCTATTAAGTGCTGTCCTCCCCACTCCAACCTCGAGTGGGAATTCTGTTAACAGAGGCTCTCTCACGCACTCTGGACAAGGCCTTTACATCTAGCCCTTTCCATCCAGTCCCTTCACCTATGCCTAATTTCAATTGCTATGGTGCTACAATTATGATTAAGAGTCTCTTAATTTTCTCTAACAAATTCACACATTAAATCAATTAGATGTATCCAAAATTGATTCCCTCTCTGCTCTGAGACTTAAAAATTAAATATACTCAAAGAAAAGGAAAACAGCATTTTTCGCCAGGATCTGTATATCCCAAATTATCTGGTATGAAATGTGGCAAATCACGTATGAATTCTTTTTAAATGTTAATATTTATAAAAACTTCATAAATTTGCTAATTAATGCATATAAAGAGCTTGACAGACCCAGGCAAGGAGGAAACTGAAAAAAAGTTTAAAATAAAAAAATACAATTTATAATTTGGAATGTTCAGTCCTTTTAGAACAAAGATTATCAAATACATTAAGTTCTTCAACAGTACACCATAGCTATCCAAAGAGCCTATTTTGGGGCGCCTGGGTGGCTCAATGGGTTAAAGCCTCTGCCTTCGGCTCAGGTCATGATCTCAGGGTCCTGGGATCAAGCCCCACATCGGGCTCTCTGCTCAGCAGGGAGCCTGCTTCCTCCTCTCTCTCTCTGCCTGCCTCTCTGCCTACCTGCAATCTCTGTCAAATAAATAAAATCTTTAAAAAAAAAAAAAAAGAGCCTATTTTTTTTCTTGTTCCACACTAACTATAGTGTCCAGAATAAGGTAAATGACAGTAAACTGTTAGTTTTAGATGCACGCAATCTTTTTTTAGCTCTAGATGCCACATTTAAGATGACAATGACAAAATGTTTTGAATATATTCAAAGGAGTATAACCGGAGGCCTCAAGCCATAATCACATTTGACAAGCTGGTCAATCTAAAAAATAGTTAATGTATCTAAGAATATTTAACCTGGAGAAGAGGTGACTTCAAATGTCTATAGGGATCAGACTTCTTCTACGTAGCCCAAGGAAACAGAACCTAAAGTGATGGGTGGAGGTATAAGGTAAGAAGGAAATGTTTAGGGGTGCATAGGTGGCTTGGTCAGTTGGGCGACTGACTCTTGGTTTCCAGCTGGGTCGTGGTCTCAGGGTCATGAGATCAAGCCCTATGTTGGGCTCCATGCTGGGCATGGAGTCTGCATGGGATTCTTTCTCCCTCTCTTTTTGCCCCTCCCGCTCATGCACACTCTCTTTCAAAATAAATAAATCTTTAAAAAAGAAAAAAAAAATGAAAGAAATGTTTAATGACTAGGGCTCTCTGAAAATAGAACAGACTGTTTCTAAAGGTTGTGAGTTCCCTGCAGATACAGGTATTGGTTCAGAAGTTAAATAATCTTCCAGTGAGTATGCAGTTCAGAAAGGATTAACACACTGAGAAGGAAAGGAGATTGGTAAGGCAGAGGGAATGACAGGAAGATGATCTCTTGGGTCTGGGGATTCCATGACTGGATGAATGATAATGAGAACAAACTCTGAGTAAATTTAGACTAATTAAGGAAAAGGTGGAGAGGAGCATTAAAATCGAAGTCATGCAAAGCTTTTTAAAAAATCGGGGGCAGGGGCAGACCTGGGTGGCTCATTTGGTTGAGCATCTACCTTTGGCTCAAGTCATGATCCTGGGGTCTAGAGACTGAGCCACGCATTGGACTCCCTGCTGAGTGGGGAGTCTGCTTTTCCCTCTGCCCCTTACCCCACTCTCCTGCTCTCTCTCACTCTCTCAAATAAATAAATAAAATCTTAAAAAAAAGAAGAGAGTCCAACTCTTGATTTCAGCTCAGGTCATGATCTCAGGGTCCTGAGATGGAGCCCTGCATCAGGCTCCACGATCAGCAGGGAGTTGGCTTGAGATTCTCTCTCCCTCTCCCTATGCTTCTTCCCCTGCTCACACTTTCTCTCTCTGAAATAAATAAATAAATCTTTAAAAAAACTAAGAAATCAGGGGTGCCTGGGTGGCTCAGTGGGTTAAGCCGCTGCCTTCGGCTCAGGTCATGATCTCAGGGTCCTGGGATCGAGCCCTGTGTTGGGCTCTCTGCTAGGCGGGGAGCCTGCCTCCTCCTCTCTCTCTTCCTGCCTCTCTGCCTGCTTGTGGTCTCTCTCTGTCAAACAAATAAATAAAATCTTAAAAAAAAAAAAAAATTAAGAAATCAGGGGGGACCGGGCTGGCTCAGTCAGAGGAGCACACAATTCTTGATCTCAGGATGGTGAGTTTGAGCCCCACATTAGGCATAGAGATTACTTAAATAAGTAAACTTGAAACAAAAAAGTTTTTAAAGAAATCTAATCATTTTACTTTCAAAATCTTAGAACACCACACAATAGATGTTCAATAAACATTTGTTGAATGGATTATTTAATTTAGCAAAAATGCACAGCAATACAATGTATGGGTTACAACCAGAAGGTTAACTTTAAGAAAAAGGTGAAAGGGATGTGGAATTAAGATATTAAAGCAGCAGCTAAACAACTAAAAGTTCAATATATGGCTATCTGATCTCAGGTAAACTATTAGCATCACTCAACTGTGCCTCCACCTCCTCAGATTAAAGTAAGGATAATAATAGTATTTACCTCATTTGGGTGTTGAAAGAATTGAGATAATAGGAAGGGAAAGTACACAGAAAGAATCCTTTCTATTCTTTTATCTTTAGCTTACATAAACATTTGGTCATGTATTATAAATATATATGTATACATATAGTCATACAATATTAAAAGTCAGTAAGAGCAGTAACAGGACTTTTTATCAGTTTGCCCAAAATTTTTTTAAAAATCAAAATTTGATTTAGAAAATCAACACCTTGTTGCTCTTTTACCTGTGGTGCGCATAAAAAGCTTATGTGCCTGACTTTCATATCCACGTGATGAATGGAGAGCAATCCAGTCTGGATTAATGAACTTGGCGCTGAAAATCAAAGTATATATATATATATACAGTATTACTTGTCATTTTTAGCAATAACGACACTGAGGACATATTAATTTATCTCAAGAAGTGGCCATTGCTCTTATAAAGCGAGAGAGTCAAGGCTTAAGCTTTATTTTTTTTATTTCATCATGTGAAACTGACTGAAGCTATAAGACAGGGTCTACCTCACTCACCTTCCAACAAAACCATGTAACATGTCATGAAAAGCCTTACCTTCACAATTCTTTCAGTGTGAAAACAATCTGATGTGTCACATTTCATTTCATTCATTTATTTATTTATTTACTTGATTTATCCTTTGGTTACTACTAAAGGATCACATTTATAATCTCAGTTATAACAGCTGGAAATAATAGCTACTAATTACAAATCCTTGCATAAAACTGAACATACTGCTAAAGATAACTTTTCAACCATATTACATTACTCTGAACACCGCAAAGTATAACTGATAATCATGAACTTTAGAACTTATTTTTAAGCCAGGAAGCTAATTTTTACAAAATATAAATAGTCTATTCCAGAAAAAAAGCTTTGCTATACACAACTAACCATATTAGATATATTTGTCAGTGTCCATGTGTAATTGGTAGAATCTTATCTTCAAAACAAAGATAGATTTTTACATTTCTTTCTAGCCTGTCCTCCAAAGAAATTATGGAAATGTTCAAACTTTGACGGTTAACTTACTTACAACCCAACTGCAAAGATATAGGGCTTTATTTATTTATTTTAAAGATTTTATTTATCTATTTGACAGAAGGAATGAGAGAGTACAACCAGGGAAAGAAGCAGGCAGAGGGAGGGATCCCAATGCAGGACTCGATCCCAGGACCCTAGCATCATAACCTGAGCTAAAGGCAGACACCCAACTGAATGAGCCACGCAGGCACCCCAGGTATAATGCTTTATAAACCACAATGCAAAAGTAGCTATGAACAATCTGTTCTCTATTCAGCCAAGCCAGATTACACTGTTCCTTTCTAAACCTGCTAAGGGCATAAATATGTAATTAAAGAAAAAAACTGGGGCACCTGAGTGGCTCAGTTGGTTAGGCTACCAACTCCTAATTTCGGCTCACCTTATGATTTCAGGGTCATGGGGTTGAGTCCCATATCAGGCTCCAGCTAAGACTGGAGCCTGCATAGGAATCTCTCTCCCTCTTCCTCTGTCCCTCCCCTCACTTGCACACCCTCTCTCTCTCTCTCAAAAATAAAAAAAAAAGTAAGAAAGACTTACACATATGCACATAAAAGACTATGATAGGCCGTAAGAGGTGGATAATCCAATCCCCAATACTGTAAATTGTTATCACTACTGTTAAAATACCTGGGGAAAAAAAAAAGCAATATTCCATTAATCAATATTCAAGAAATGGACTTAAAATTTAACATCTAATATCATTAAAATGAAAAAATATGTTAAGCAAGGTCAAAAGAGTTCATCTAAACTTTTGTCTACCCCCTTCACTTACAATTTTTTGTAATCACAATTAAATTGTGATTTTGAAATCACAATTAAAAGTTTTTGAGTAGAGCAAGTAAATAATTTATTGTCTATACCAAGACACTCTTGAGTAAAAGAGGAAGTTATTAATAATTAAGCCATAACAAGAAATGTAAACCAAGATTGTTCCAAAGAAACCAGAACTTAATGTCTATTAATAGAGTAGATCGATGATTAACATGTATACAACAAAGAATATGTGCAAAAAAAGATAAGTCACTTCTGATAATCTAACAAATTAGAGAAACAATATAAAAATCACAATTTAAGAAAGTAAAAATATCAGTAACAAAGAACACACACAGATTTGATTTATGGAAAGAAAAAGTCCTAATGGAACAGGTAGGGTGTTTTTTTTGTTTTTTTTTGTTTTGTTTTTTTTTTTTTAGGATTTTTAGGTAATCTCTATACCCAACATGGGGTTCAAACTCACAACCCCAAGATCAAGAGTCACATCCTCTAACCCACTGAGAGAGCTAGGCACCCCAGAATAGGCAGACTTTCAATAAGACTTTCAAAACCATTTAACCAACTTATGAGAGCTTACTATATGCAAGATTCTGTAAACTGGGAAGACAACTGGGTCTAACATCTATAAATTAAGACTCCTGCAGTTGGCCAGAATGGGAAGGCATGATATACAACAACTATGACTGAAGAAATGAAAACCAAGCTTACAGAAACATATTCCTTAATTATATCCTTTTTAACTAAGATGCTTCTTCTATCCAACTTACTTTCTCATTCCTAAGAATAATTTACAGTAATGGAGACCAAACTATATAACCCACAAATAATTAGTGTTCATAACCTGTTTCAAATGGGTCACAATTTTTTGGTGTCACAATCTCTATTTGGGACTAAATTTTTTTCTTTTAAATTAACATTCAATCTCATTAAATAAACTATTGTTCATCTTCAGAAGGTCTCCTTTGCTTAGTCATATAAACTGTAGGTTTATATGGAAGGAACGGGGGGGTAATAGAATGATCAAGGCATGCTATACAGCCAAGAAATTGGTCTATTACAGTAAGTACCATCTGGTGGCAATTGTCCACTCCAGGAACAACATCCATGTGAACCACCCTACACCCTCTATCTGGCTGGAATGTGAAGCCAGGAGACAGTGAATCCAGAATCCCCAGGTTAGTTGGAGCCCCTTTTGATAGCCTGAATCTGGGAAACTGGGCCAGGCCAAGAGCCAAGACCAGAGGACTCAATTCTCTGGTGCCCTCTGAAGACAGGCACCAATTGTGTTATTTCCAAATTCACCTTATTACCAGGCACACGGGCATAAAGTTTTATTGCATCAACCTTACAGAGCTGTTGAAGGACTGGGTTAAATACATAAAGCTGTTAAATCATTTCCTGACACACAGCAAATACACAACAGTAGTTCTAATTGCCTATTAGCCACAAAATTACTAGAATGGATCTAGCAGTGGAAAACCACTTTGACCAATATAATTTCATTTGGTTTTCTGTTTCTTATAAGACAAAAGCTATTTTGGGGCGCCTGGGTGGCTCAGTGGGGTAAGCCTCTGCCTTCGGCTCAAGTCATGATCTCAGGGTCCTTGGATCAAGCCCCGCCTCGGTCTCTCTGCTCAGCAGGGAGTCTGCTTCCCCCACCCACTCTCTGCCTTCCTCTCTGCCTACTTGTGATCTCTTTCTCTGTCAAATAAATAAATAAAATCTTAAAAAAAATAAATTAAAAAATAAAAAAAAGACAAAAGGTATTTTTTGTTTACTTTAACCTTTAGCTACTCTGGAGATAAGTAAAAGAGGCACTGAGAACAGATATATACTAACAGTAAAGTCACTAGTTGAATTGGGAAGAAAGAATGACAGGGCTAACAACCCTCATGGAAAAAGTAGCTTTAAAATGTTTCACATAGGGGGGCGCCTGGGTGGCTCAGTGGGTTAAAGCCTCTGCCTTCGGCTCAGGTGATGATCTCAGGGTCCTGGGATCAAGCCCTGCATCGGGCTCTCTGCTCAGCGGGGAGCCTGCTTCCCTCTCTCTCTCTGCCTGTCTCTCTGCCTACTTGTGATCTCTTCTCTCTGTCAAATAAATAAAATCTTTAAAAAAAAAAAAAAAAAAATGTTTCACATAGGATGCCTGGGTGGCCCAGTCAGTTAAGTGTCTGCCTTTGGCTCAGACCATGATCCGGGGGTCCTGGCATGCAGCCCCATGTCAGGCTCCCTGCTCAGCAGGGAGTGTAGTTCTTCCCCTCCCTCTACCCTTCTCCCTGCTCTCTCTCTCTCTTGTATTCCTCTCTCTCTCAAATAAATAAATAAAATATTTTAAAAATAAATAAAATGTTTCAAGTAAAGCTGCAAAATCTACCAGTAGAAACAAAGCAACTAGTTAATTCTCCTGCTTTATGTATTTTGAATATATCTGACAAATTGTATAAATGCTATCAATATGCTGAAATGTATTTTCCCATCATATTCCCATATAATCTCAGCAGATGTTTTGTCAAAAAAATCTAGCTGCCGTATGAATTATGAAATTACACTCAAGAGTGTTATCATTAACTTCAAGATATAATTTTTTCTAATATACAACCCACAGTCATGAGTATTTTTGCTTTAAAAAAAATATATTTTAGGGCGCCTGGGTGGCTCAGTGGGTTAAGCCTCTGCTTTCGGCTCAGGTCATGGTCTCAGGGTCCTGGGATCGAGCCCCACACTGGGCTCTCTGCTCAGCAGAGAACCTGCTTCCCCTCCTCTCTCTCTCTGCCTACCTCTCTGCCTACTTGTGATCTCTCTCTGTCAAATCTTATTAAAAAAATATTTTAAAGTGATATAGTTTCAAACACAGAAGAGTTTTAACAAGAGTTCAAAGAACTTCTGTACAACAAAATGTAAATTTTTTAAAAGAAAAAAAGACAAGAAAAGTTTACATATACATACACAAACACATGAAAAATTACTAAAACATAGAATACTGTTATAGAGACAGACGTTAAGGTCATCACCATGAACCCCATCTCCTGTTGTTCATACCCCTGAGCACGTACATTCACTGCCCCTTGAGCATGGGCACGACCTATGACTTGCTTGTAACCAAGAGAATATGGCAAAGGTGACAGAAGTCACTCTTGAATTTATGTTTTACAGGTACGTACGATTCCATCTTGTTAGCAAGTGTGCTAGGGAGACTCCTTCCACTGACTTTGAAGAGGCAAGCTGTCATGTTTTAGTAAGTGACCATACTGGAGAAGCCACATGGCAAAAAACGGCAGGTAAACTCAGGAGCTGAGAGTAGCTTCTAACAAGAAAATGAAGCCCCAAGTCTTATAGATGCAAGAAAATTCATTCTGCCAACAGCCAGGGGTACCTTGTAAATGGTTGCTTCCGCAATTGAACCTCTAAGAAGACTAGAGCCCCAGCTAACAACGGGATCGCATGCAGCCTTCTGAGGCCCTGAGCAGACTATCCAGCTAAGCCATGCCTAGACTTTTGACCTAAAAAATATCTGGGTAATAAAAAATACGTGTTTAGGGACTCCTGGGTAGCTCAGTCACTTAAGTGTCTGCCTTTGGCTCAGGTCATGATCCAAGGGTTCTGGAATCGAGTCCCCTAACGAGCTCCTTGCTCAGCAGGGAGGCTGCTTCTCCCTCCGCCCCTCCCCCTGCTTGCGCGCACGCTCGCTCGCTCTCTGTCTGCTAAATAAACAAATAAAATCTCCCAAAAAAGAAGAAATAGATGTTTAAGTAATTACCATTTGTGTTCATTTGTTAACACAGCACAGAAAATACACAGTAGTCTTCCCTTATCCACAGTTCACTCTGTGATTTCAGTTACCAGTGGTCAACAGCAGTCTGCAAGCAGGTTGTCCTGATGTATCCTCAGGAGTCAGTAGCTTAATACTGTATCACAACGCCTATGTCATTCACCTCACTTCATCTCATCACACAGACATTTTATCATCTCACATCATCACAAGAAGAAAAGTGAGTACAAACCAATAAGGTATTTTGAGAGAGAGAAACACATTCATGTAACTTCTATTATACTACATTGTTATAAATATTCTATTTTAGTACTAGTTATTGTTATTTATCTTTTACTCCGCTTATTTGTCAATTAAATGTTATCATTGGTATGAACATATAGGAAAAAACATAGCCTATAGGGTTTGGTGTTATCCATAGTTTCAGGAATCCCCTGGGAGTATTGGAGCTTATGCCCCATGGGTAATGGGGGACTATTTTAACTTTGTTTAAAAATCACACGAATTGGGGCGCCTGGGTGGCTCAGTGGGTTAAGCCACTGCCTTCGGCTCAGGTCATGATCTCAGGGTCCTGGGATCGAGTCCTGCATCGGGCTCTCTGCTCAGCGGGGAGCCTGCTTCCCTCTCTTTCTCTCTCTCTCTGCCTGCCTCTCTGTCTACTTGTGATCTCTCTCTGTCAAGTCAATAAATAAAATCTTTAAAAAAAAAAAAAATCACACGAATTATCATAAAAAAGATCAGCAACCCAACAAAAACATGGAAAAAAGATATGAATATACAAATTTGAAAAGAAACATGTTGGTCGGGAAATATATTAAAAGATGTTCGATGTCACAAGAACTCAAGGAAATGGAAATTTTAAAAGTCTGGTATTATTAAGTGTTGATAAATGTATGTGGAAAGATATTCTGGTATTGGTATCCATTAAAACTACTTCAGAGATTCCACTACTAAGAATGTACCTAGAAAAAACATGTACACAGGGACAATATATTTTATTTAATCATTCCCCTACGAAGAAATAATTTAGAGTATTTCAGGTTTCTCATAGCTATTAACAATGCTGAAATAAACAGCCATGCCT